CCCCCCCCCGTCTTTTTTTTACACTCCACTAAAAATTCAAGTTTGTTATATATATTTTTTCATATTCACAGTATTGTATTTGTGTTTTGAAACATCGGTTGTTTAGCAAAACGATACAGCTTACAATATAGTTAGTTCATTCAAAATTCACACTTTTAGGCTGTTGCCATTATATTTGTTTATATTTTCTTTATGTGGTTTGCTATGATTTCGGCCCTTAGTATAATGTTATTAGTAATTATGAAGGCGAAAGACAGAAAGTGATGATCAACATAAACACACAAATATGATAAACTGACGGCAAATGTAATTTTTAAACAAATTATATCAGGAATATATATATTTTATTGAGAATAACATCTCCATTACTTGTACTGACACTGGTTCGAGAAAAGACACACATAAAGCGCCTGAAGTTGTGTTTATTGATTTGACACTATGTCATGTTTTTCACTGTGATCCAGCCGTGAATTCTTTTCTTTCATTCTTTTTTTAAATAAAGGGTTAGGGAGGAGTGGGTGAGCAGGCCGTGGTATTAAGTAAAAGGCCCGTCGTGAATTGTGTAAACAGCCCAGGGCGGTGGAAAAAGTTCATGCCCGGGTCCATGTAAGGAGAAACCAGGCCACTGCACGGATATTTAATTAAGACGACCTGCGAAGGATTACAGCGATATTGGGACTGTAACCTTGTCTCAAAATGATCATTAACAATTTCATGCACCGTCGCTCTTGACAGTTAGGGGACATCTATGGCCCTTCAGGGTCGACTTATTGAACTGTTTTTTTTTATATTTGGTCAAAATGTCTTATTTATCTGATTTGCGCTTCAGACCTTTTACATTATGAACTCATTAGAGTTTTTTTTAATTACACAAAGAATTAAATCTGGGTAAAGAAACGGAAGAACTGTGCGTGTAAATAATTGTTTGCTGATGCTAAAATTATTCTCTACAGTCCAGTTTTCTTTAGGATAATAATTTCCAGATGAGCTTTCACCATCACCGCGCAACAAATATTCAGATATTTTTGATGAAAAGCCACACATGGAAGGTGTCGTCCCATTTGGTTCCCGGTCCTAAATGCTCTCCCTGAATAAACTTTCACAACTCTAGTCACCTGAAGCCCAAATTGTCTCTGATTCTCGCTGTAATGAGGTCGCACTTAACGCCCACTGCCAGCACTGTGAGGTTCTCTCCCGCTTTGATCTCACACTGACCTACTGCTGGTGTTGAATGTTTTTAACCAATCAAATGCACTTTAAAGATGTTAAATTGCACCATTTGGTTCGCTGGTGTCAGCGCCTTTTCTGCAAAAACAAAAAGGAAATATTGCAATGAAATAACCTATTTTTCAGAGCAATGACCGTAGGAGAAAATGTAAATTAAATACAATGTGATTGTTTTAAAGGGATCAGAAATATTTTGGCACTGAAAATAGCGGACAGTTACTGCACTTCTACATTTGAAATATAAATACCATGTTTGTGCCATTTCAGCTTAATTAAATGTCTTGTAGACCACGTCTGATCTTAACACAGAGTGCGGGGAAATGAACTCCATGAGCTGACTGTGTACATGTTGCTCTGTCGTGTCCGAAGCTTTGGCTGGAGCGGACTGGGAGTTAGCGACACCTCCTAGGTTTCTTTCTTTTTTTTTTTTTTTTTTGTCTTTCTAAAATCCCTGAGTTTGGCCAGCAGCTTTCTGCTCCCTTTGCACGCCCGGACATCCCATTGGACAGCTCCTGCGCTTTTGTAGGCGGAGCTTCCCTGGCAGCAAAAAAGGAGGAAAGAATTTAACTGCGCAAAAGTCCTCTGTAGTGACGGATGTCCGAAGTTCAGAAGTTTTTCAGTGTGCGTTTCATTGGGACACAAGGATGGGGACAGCTTAAACACAACAAGTTGCACTGCGGTTAAGACTTTTCCCTCTTTTGCTTTTTTTTTTAAGTGAGGAACGAAGTCTTGTGATTTGAGCGCCACTATCTCCAAAG